GCCTATAGCATAATTAAAAGAAAACCAGGAGAAAAAAACATAACTAGTAGGATCTCAAAAACGTTTTAAAGGTGTTTTGGATGCATACATTTTTAAAAAGAAAAAAGTACTCTGAAATGTTGACATAGTTACTTAACAGTGATAAAGATATTTTGTACTCAAAAAAATCAAACTCACTGCCACCCTGTCCATTCCGACTCAGAGTGACACTGTATAGAGTTTCTGAGACTGTAAATCCTTGCAGGAGAAGAAAGCCTTATCTCTCTCTTGGAGCAGCTGATGAGTTTAAACTGCCAATCTTTCTGTTCACAGTTCAGTGCTTATCCTATAGTACAGCACCAGGGCTCCCACGTGTTATACTGTTGTTTTGTTAAGTGTCCTCAAGCTGGTTTTGACTCAGAGCAACCCTGTATAGAGTTTCCGAGGAATGGCTGGTGAGCTTGAACCTCTGACCTTGCAGTTCAGCGCATCAACCAACAGCACCACAACAAGGAGTCCATGTGTTACACTAGTCTTTAAATTTCAACTAATAAGATTGTTATTTTTTATAACCAAACACACAAAAAAATTATAAAAATAACATTTAAGGACACTTTGTGATGCAGTAATTAAATGCTCAACTATAAACCAAAAAAAAAAAAAAAAAATCATCATCCTCATTAAACACTAGACACTGAAACCAACCATTAAAATTCTATAGAGTAGTTCTACTCTGACACAAAGGGGGTCACTATGAGCTGGGGTCAACTTTGTAACCACTCATTTCAATTTTATACAATTTCTATCAAATTGACCTTAAAATGTTTTGGCAAATCCTACTGTTTCTTAATAACTAACATCACTCCAATCCATCTAAGAGGCCTAGTTAAAAAAACAAAATTACTCAACATACATTACACATATAGGACACAGGATTCTTAAGCAATAACTGTCAGAATCCTCAGCAATACGAATTTCATTCCAAAATAGCTTATTAGAAAATTAATGAGTAGAAATATTTCTTTTTTAAAATATTCCAGGGAAAACACTATGCTTATCAAATGTCACTATATAAAAAATCAGATGTTTCCATTCTAAAACCATTACATTCTACATTTTCATAAGACTGACTCTTTGTATAACAAGCCTGCCTTATCTTTTAGAATTGAACCAAACTCTGCACGTAAGCATTTCAGCTTCACAAACATCTGAGTAAGGTAAATGACAGTTTTTAAATATTTCTAAACTTTTAAGGCACAAGATATAGCAACATTCTAGTTCTATTTATTTATTTATTTTATTTTATTTTATTTTACAAAAAGACAAATTTGGCTTCACCTGAAGCTTTTCATGTCTGGGGAGTTATTTGCTAAATTTGAATAAATGGTCAAAAATGACACACAGATGGGGGGTAGTGAGTTTTTAGGAAACAACATATATGGGGGAGTCAAAAAGTTCATAGAAAAACTCTATTATATTTTAATTTCATCTTTCCACAAACTTTTTGACTCCCCCTTAGAGTGCTCAACACACCTGCATTTCTCCGAGTCTATAAATCAAACACTTGATACAAACATAATGAGTCCTAGAGTCCTGATGTGGCACTGTGCGTTAGTGCATCAGACTGCAAAGTCGTTTGAACTGTAAGGTCAGCAGTTCAAACTCACCAGCCGCTCCTTGGAAACCCTATGCAGGGTTGCTATGAGTCGGAACCAACTCAATGGCACTTAACATCAACAACAACAGAGTCCTGGCGTGGTGCTGTAGAATATGCACTGGACTGCTAATTGCAAGGGTTGGTGGTTCATTCCATGGAAACTCTATATAGGGTTGTCACTTAACAGAGTGGCTTTGTTTTTCATATAAGGCTAAATTTACTGTTTAGGACACACTTTTTCTATCTGAAAGTCTATATGTTTATATATGTGCCATCAAGTCAGTTTCGACCCATAACGACACTGTATAGAGTTTCCGAGGAGTAACTGGTAAGTTTGAACCATGGACCTTGCAGTTCAAACAAGACTTTGCAGTCCAGCACATGAACCCACAGTGCCACACCAGGGCTCCGCTATGTAAGTATCTTTAATAACTAACCTTTTCCCTACTCTCAATATATTCTAAAAGAATCATAGAGTTGATTAGAGTCTGAGGTTGAAAACAGAAAAAACAAAACAAAACCCTGAGACCTCCTTTGTGTTCAGCATCTTAAAGGTTGCAGCCAGAACTGTCCAGATTTTTCTTAACCAGATTTTAGGGCAAACACTGGTCTGAGAACCACAAGGTCAGCAGTTCAAATCCACTAGCTGCTCCTTAAAAACCTTATACAAGTTCACTATGATTTGAAACCAACCAGACAACACTTAATAACAACAAGCAGACCTCCTAGAATTTAAACAGAATACAGGTTAATGTTAAGACACTATGGATAGAAACTACTGAAATACTGTGTTGAAGGAGAATATTAAATGTACCATGGACTGCCAAAAGAACAAACAAATCTGTGTTGGAAGTACACCCAGAATGCTCGTTAGAAGCCAGAATGGGCAACCTTCGTCTCTCATACTTCAGACGTGTTACCAGGAGTGGACAGTCCCTGGCAAAGCACATCATGCTGGATAAACTGGAGGGTCAGTGAAAAACAGGAAGTCGTCCAAGGAGATGGACTGGCACCATACCCCGGGAGCAGCAATGGGCTGAAGCATAGCAGCCATTAGGAGGTTGGCACTGGACGGAGAAGTGGTTCTGTCTGTGGTACATAAGGTTGCTATGAGTCGGTACCGACTCAAGGACACCTATCAACAACTGGCTCACTTCAAATTCAACAGCTTTCCAGTAAAATTTTACTTTAAAGTAAAATCATCTTAATGGATAAAAAAAGGATAGGTAGGAGGGAGGACGGTGTAAGACAAGATGAGAATAATTGCCACAATCCATAAATTCACAACTACAGCCTACATTTGAATACTACTGTGAATCAAAGAAGAAAACAAGCCCAGATGAGCCCAGCCTCAGTAAATGTCAATAGTTTCTGAATTAGAGGACTGCTCCCATTACAAATAATAATTGTAGCTGCCATTTACCTACCCCTGCTATGGGCAAGCAGGTACTATAAACTTAACTCTGTCGTTTCATTTAATCCCCAACAGCAACTATGTAAAGAACGTATTATTATGCCCCTTTATTAAACAGAAAAGTGAAGGCTCAAAGAAAGTTATACAAGGTTGGCAAGTGGCAGAGCCAGATTTCAAACCCAGAGTTGCTTACCTTGGAAGTTTATGGCTCATTATATTTCCATACATGGTCTACTGATAGCATACCATGAAAATCACCAAGAAGGTTCTCAAAGATTTACTCAACTCTTTTAAGTATCCCAACCACAACTACTTCTCTGCCACAAACACAACTACTGTAGTAACTAACCCTCCTACCTACAACACAAGTTCATTTAATTTTAGCAAAGGGATTTACAATGTGACTCCAATTCTTATCTCATGGAATATCAGAAAATTTTCATTTAACTGAGTTAAGCTTCACTTAAGTTAAATAAAGCTTCATCTTTTCTACATAATATAAAAGTTCTAATATGGATACTCAACCTAAAGTCTGTTTTTCCTTGTTAATTTTAGTGGTATGCTACACGTTTCATACTCTACTATTGCTTTTAAGTGCTGATGAGCTGGTTCCTACTCATAGTAACTCTGTATAGGGTTTGTGAAAAGCAGCTGGTGCGTGTGAATCTGCAGCTTTGCAGTTACAAGTCCAGTGCTTATAATACAGCGCCACACCAGGACTCCATACTTCACTATACTTGTTGAAAATACAGCTATTCCCAAGATACAAGGGGGCGTTACAAGCAGAGCCAAACAACATTTTCCTTACACTTTTGTACAACATTCCATAAAGAAACTTTAGATTTCTGCTCATCTTTTTCTCCAAGTTTTCCTACTGCCGGCTTCAGCTCTGTTACTGCAACATCGAAGATTCCCAGGTTACCTATGTTCTTTCCAACAAGGGAGCCATGCTTGAATCATTCCTGTAACCAAACCAGTTGGACAGCTATCTCCTTTAAAGACGGATTACAACAGTCGCCTAAAAGGTGGCAGAACCAACTGCTGCCATCTCTGTTTCGAGCTGTTCTAAAGCTCATCCCCGGTATTTACAAGCCCCAAAGGCTCAGACTGAGTCATGGCAACTCCCAGACTCTAAAAAAAGACTGACATGTATAATTCACTCCTATTCCCTTCCCAACCAACCAAAACTTAATCGCATTCTTACACTCAATCATTTTTGAGTAAACACCACACTACAAAGTCACAGGGCAATTTCTCTCCTGGACAGACAGCCATTCCCTGAACCTAGAACACACTACTATGCTCCGACCACCCCTTGTCAAGCGAGGATCACCCTCAAGAACAGTCCATCTTTATCAAGATCGTTAATTTTGGCTAGAAATCCACCGACCCCTTCGCTTAAAAGACAGCTGGCTCGGGAAATAGAGGGAGTCCTAACTCTGGGGGCACTAAGACGTTGTCCCTCCTCAGAATGGACCAACAAGGAGCTCAGCCCTCGCCTAGATCTCGGGTACCTGGGTGAGACGAGTGAGAAGGGAGAATTAGGGAACTAGAGGAGGTAAGTCACCCAGAGAATTCAGGAAGACCCACACGAGTCTCTCGCTTTTTTCATAAGGGAACTTTCCGTCCCAAGTGGCAACTTGAGGAAGGCTCAGATCCCATCTCTTTCATAGGACTAAGAGACTCACCATTCCCGAAAAGTGGCAAAGTTAACCTTCAGTTGCCCCCTCCCCACCTCCTCAAAGCAAAGCCGAGAGACACTCCAGTCCCAAACGCTTAAAAATACTAATAATACTAAATGTAACAAGCCCAACGTAACCCTTGTGGAGCCGCGGCCCCGTTGGGGTCACTACCCAAGGAAGACGACGACGACTACGAAACGGAATGCACCCCTCCGCGGCCGGGCTCCCCACCCCCATGTGCCCTCCGGCGCCGAGGCCGGGCGCTCACCGCAATGACATTGACAAAGGTGGTCTTGCCCGAGTACTGCAGCCCCACGAGCGTCAGCTCCATCTCCTCCTTCCAGAAGAGCGAGCGGAACCAGTCCAGCAGGCGAGAGATGAGCGCCAGCATGATGGCAGGCGGCCGGCCGGGAAGACGGACGAACGGGAGGCTAGGCGGCGGCGGCAGTGGAGAGCTTCCACACCAGACGGCCTCGGCCCGGACCCACCAACGGCTTCTTGGGGCCCCGGCGGGACGCGGGCAAACACGGCGGGCGGCGGCGGCCGGAGCCAGGAAGCCGAGCGAGTCATATGACTCGTCCTCCCCCACGGTCGTCCCCGCGCCGCTGTCGGCGCTCACGGCAAGAGCGGCGAGTCCCGCCGGCCAGGCGCACCCGCCACCGACAGCGCCACCTCGTGGGACTTCTGTGCAGCACAGCGCGCCGGCGGAAGAGCTTTCGTAACTTTTCCACCACAGGCTCTTGAGCCTTGATTGTTGGTGCAGTCAACATTCATTCAATCATTCTACCACGGTTCACTGAGTCTCTACAAGAAGATTTCAGGATTCTGGGGAATTGGCACACACTAAAAGTCCCTATTCCACATATTGGTAATAGCAAATGATGAGAAATCACAAGTGTTTATCAGTCAGGAGCTGATTAAACCACACGATGGTATAGTCCCCAAAATGGAACTCTACTATGCCGTTGTACCAAAATAAAAAGAAAATGAGGAAATTTTCTATAAACTCGTATGGCATGATATCCAGGAAATATTTTCAAGAAACGAAAAAGCAAGATGCAGACAACGTATGTAATATATTTTTTGGAGTAAGATGACTAGGTATATGAGAGAGGGCTTCAAAAACTTCGTGGAAAAATGCCATTATTTCTTACTAACATTTTTCATGTCTTTTTTTTAATTATTGTGAACTGAATGAAGGTTTACAGAGCAGTTCATCATTTTACATTCAACAAATTGTATACTTCGTTTCATTACAATGATTAAAACGCCTCCGTTTTTCATCAGCTAACAGTATTTATTGACGTCTGTTCACTTGAACGCATTCATACCTCTGTCTCACACTACCTTCATCTTTCCTCTCCCAGCTTCCTTGTTGTATATTACCTTCCCTGTCACCTAAGTAAACATGTGTCTACCTGTTATGCAATGCATAATTCCCCCTTCCCTCACACCACTGGTAACAATCGTATATTTCTTTTTTTATTATTATTTCTTTTAGCAAGAAAACATTTTCTTAATTTTTTACAGCAGTGGTCACATAACAATATTTATCCCTGTATGATTGACTAATTTCCATATATGAGTGACTAATGCCCTCCAGGTTGATCCATGTTATGAGATATTTCACAGATACGTAGTTATTCTTCAACATTGCATAGAACTCCACTGTGTGTATGTTCCAAAGAACCATTAGTCTGTTTAATGAGCATTTAAACTGTCTCCTTTTTGCTATTGTAAACAGTACTGCAAATAACATGGGTGTGCAAATACGTATTCGATTCACATCTCCTGTTTGTGATACATGCCAACTAGAGAAATGAGTTCATTTAGTCTAAATTTTCAAATTATTTAGAGTACAGTTTTTCATTGTTGTTGAAAAGGCCACTGAGTCAGTTCTGACTCATAGCAACCCTGTATAGGGTTTCCAAGGAGTGGCTGGTGAGTTTGAATTTCTGACCTTATGGTACAAATCAACCTTGCAGGCCAGTACGTTGCCCCACAGCACCATACCATAGTATTCTGTTAGTATCCTTTTTATTTCCATTGGTTTTGTAGTGATTTCAACCATGTTATTTGTATCTTTTTTTCTTTTGTTAGATATGCCGTGGTTTGTCAATTTTATGAATTTTTTCAAAGAACCAATTTCTTGTCCTATTGATTCTTTCTATTGTTTTTTCTGTTTTCTATTTCATTTATTCAGCTGTAACTTTTATTATTTCTTTTCTTCTGGTGGTTGTAGGCAGAGTTTCCTGGTCATTTTCTAATTGCTGCAGATGTTGGGTTAAGGTATTGATTTTGGTTCATTTTGGTTTTTTGGATGTACATGTTTTCTTTTTTATTAAAAATTGCCCTAGCAAGAAAGACCTGGGGACTCTTGGGCCCAGAGTCAGTAACATAGCCACAGATGACTAGAGTGGAGAGTGAAGCATCCAGTTTATAAGAGAGGGCATATGTATAAGAACACCCACACTTGCAGATAATACCCACTTGACCTGGCTTCAATGACTGGATGATCAGAGCTCAACCAGAAGAAGAAAGAAGAGGGGAAAAAAAAGTATTGAACGGAAAAAACAACCCGGCATCGCTAATCAACCATACTGCACACAAGATGGCCCATCTAGAGACTTTTATTCAGGGTGAGGAAGAAGAAGGTGACCTCTGCCCGAGAGATAAGGCAGGAGGCAGAAGAAGAGAAGAAGAAGAGAGCATCAATAGGGAGGGACTGGTCTTATATAGGTTCAACAGGAAGGGAGTGGTCATTGCTGGGGTGACTTAGCTCTGGCCTATCAAAAGCCATATTGCATTTTAAACTACACTCCTTGTAGCTTAGGGTGGGGAAAAAGAAATCTAAGATTACAAAATGGAGTTGAAGGGAGGGGAGAGGGAAGAACCCGGAAGGTACAGCCTAAAATGGTGGACCTGATTGTGACTGACTGATTATTGTAACATTTCCTCTCTTTGGTTAAACAAGAAAAATGAATGGCCGTCTCTATGATCCATGCCCACGGGAGAAGAGACGATGGTCATTTTTCTGTAGCTACTTCCTGCTGGCATTGGGGCAGTGAGGTTGTCTTTCTTTGGGCTTGGACCACGGTCGGTCAGCGACAGCTTTGTCGTTGTTGTCG